TAGATATAGATATAGATATAGATATAGATATAGATATAGATATAGATTTTAAGCAAAAGCAAGGAAGTTTTCTGAGGATGCAAAGGAAGAAGGCATGCAAAGGGTGAAGCTCAAGATGACAGGATGGGCGAGGTAATGGGAAGTAAACAATGTGGTCCAGGAGTAAGAAGAAGCATGAGGACAGGAAAAGACCAGGACACAAAGCCCAAACCAAAATATACAGCACATTAAAAACAACATTCTTTATGTAACAAAACTGGATTTTCAAAAGCCTGTCTCTTTCCTCTCCATTTCCAAATATAAATAAACAGAAGAGGTTACTGAAGTCAAACAAAGCAAATACATCGGACCCTCCATACATCAACCTATATTGTTTTCGCTGCTTGTTTACAATTGTAAAAATCCAGGTTCTATCAAAGAGGGCTGAAAAAGAGAAAACATCCCACCTTAGTTGTCATGGCATTTTAAGTCAATGGAAGGCAATCTTTATATGATCAGTCAAAAACCACCTTTGTTTTTTATAGAATAGAATAGAATAGAATAGAATAGAATAGAATAGAATAGAATAGAATAGAACAGAAATTAGAATAGAATAGAATTCTTTACTGGCCAAGTGTGGTTGGACACACAAGGAATTTGTCTTTGGTGGAATATGCTCTCCATATACATAAAGAAAAAATGATATATATTCATCAAGAATCATAAGATAAAACACTTACTGATAGACATAGGATACTAATAAGCAATCAAATCATACTAAGAAACAATAAAAACCATATAAGTTGTAAAGATACAAGCAACACGGTTATAGTCGTAAGTGGGAAGAGATAGGTACTAGTAAGGATGAGAAGAAGAATAGTAATATAGTCTTAGTAGTTAATTCGACGGTGTTGTGGGAATTATTTGTTTAGCAGAGTGATGGCATGTGGGGAAAAACTGTCTTTGTGTCTAGTTGTACAGTGCCCTATAAGCGTCATTTTGAGGGTAGAAGTTGAAACAATTTATGTCTGGGATGTGAGGGGTCTGTAGATATTTTCACAGCCCTCTTTTTGACTCATGCAATATACAGGTCCTTGATTGAAGGCAGGTTGGTAGTAATTGTTTTTTCTGCAGTCCTAATTATCCTCTGAAGTCTGTGTCTGTCCTGTTGGGTTGCAGAACCAAACCAGACAGTTATAGAGGTGCAGAGGACAGACTCAATCATTCCTCTGTAGAACCGGATCAGCAGCTCCTTGGCAGTTTGAGCTTCCTGAGTTGGCGCAGAAAGAACATTCTTTGTTGTGCTTTTTTGATGACGTTTTTGATGATGGGGATGTTTTTGATTTTTTGATGACATCTAAGGACCCCAAAGGTTATGATGGCTATTTTGGGTGATACCATCAGAGAAAGAGGAACAAAAAAAAATGTGGATGACCAGCCTTGATCATCCCACATGAAGCCTTGAGTGAAACCATCAAGTTCTCTTGACTTCTCAAAGTCTCAAAATATTATCAGACATTAATCCTCTTGTGTCAGAACTACATTTTACAAACTTGTAAAGGTTTACAAAAAATTGCTTTATTTAAGATGGCTGCAGACTTTTGGGGGGTTTTCCAACCTGTGTCTATGGGCACAGGGTTTTTTGACACTTGTCTACCAGACTAAGGGCTCTTCTGTACTTCAGCCCAAGCTGCTACTCTTCTCTACTGTTCCAGGGCTGCTGTTCATGAAGTCAATTTAAACTCAAGCCTAGATTGCAGTGGTTTAGCTATTTGTATTTAATTCAGATTAAGGTCACTACAACCTATACTGATCATTCCCCTTCTTCTTGACCTTCCCATGCAGGGAAGGCAGACCTCACTACAGATTAACAGGGACTTTGTAGATCATCTAGTCCAACTCCACCGCCCAAACAGACCCTGCACCATTTCTGACAGGTGGCAGCCCAGTCTCTTCTTGAAAGCCTCCAGGGATGAAGCTCCCACAACGTCTGAAGGCAACTTCTGTTCCATGGGTTGATTGTTCTCACTGACAGAAAGTTTCTCCTTATTTCCAAGTTGAATCTCTCCTTGTTCAGTTTCCATCCATTATTCCTTGTCTGGCCTTCAGGTACCTTGGGAAACAGCTTCACCCCTTCCTCTCTGTGGCAGACCCTCAAATACTAGAACACTGCTCTCATGTCTCTCCTGGTCCTTCTCTTCCCTAGACTAGCCATGCCCAGTTCCTGAAACCGTTCTTCGTATGTTTCAGTCTTCAGTCCCCTAATCATCCTGGTTGCTCTTCTCTGCCCTCTTTCTAGAGTCTCGACATCTTTTTAATAGTGTGGGGGCCAAAACTGAATGCACTACTCTAGGTGTGGTCTTACTAAGGCTTTATTAGACTGGTATTAGTACCTCCCTTGATCTTGATTGTATTCCTCTGTTAATGCAATTTAGGATTGCATTGTCTTTTTTGGCTGCCACTGTACACTGCTGGCTCATATTTAGCTGGCTCACACTAGCTGGCTACTGGGTCATAGTTAGATCAATGGGGGGGGGGGAGAAAGCCTTTCCACAATTCAGAACATAACAGCCCCTTGCACTTAACTATTGTATAGGACAGTGACCAGCTATTGGAAGGCTGATCCAATGTTGTAGCCAATCAAAGTTTAGAGTAAGTGAGTGAAAAGTAAATAGACTAGAACAGGGGTCACCAACCTTTTGGACCTCAGGGACCACCAAACTCATAATTTTAAATCCAGCAGACCAAGAGACCCTGGGAAAATTCCAAAAAAAGTCTGCAGGAAAATTCTCCACCCCATTTTCCTACCAATCAATCACACTTTATTTGGGATCGCAGGATAGGTGTCCAGCTCCATTTTGGAGGGGGGGGGGAGAGAGACTTTTGGCTTCATGCAAGGACAGCACCAGAAGCAGCAGAAGTCTTTCTTTCTCTCCCCCAAACTCCGCCAGAAATGAGTCTTTGCTGGCGCAGCCTCTTGGAGCCTTGCAGGGTCCCAAAGACTCATTTCTGGTGGAGTTTGGGGGAAGAGAAAGAAAGACTTCTGCTGCTTTCCTTGTGTGCAGAGAAAGAAGCAGCCCGGTGGCCAGGCCAGGGGTGTGGGCCGCGTGGGGCAAGTTCCCCCCCCCTAGGCCCTTTCCCCCCTCCCCTCACTACCTTGTGTTGTTTGCAATGTAAACGACACAAGCCTTGTGTTCCCGCGCAGCCTGGATTAATTGCTTTGTGGGGGATGCTTTGCGGGTGACATTTCTCTGCAGACCACCAAAATTTTCTCATGGACTTCCCCAGCCCGCTGGTTGGCGACCACTGGACTAGACTGTCTAAAGTGGAATGAAAAGCAAATAGAACCAACATTCACATAACCCTGAAAGGGGATCAAAATGGAAAATGTGAGCTGGGAATGGAGTTGCAATAGATTAGGAGAGGAAGGTGGTGGGATTGTTAACTTGCACATTCTAGAAATGGTCTCACCTGTATATCTCTTAAATGTGCTTTACCTTTTTGATAAGTAGGCTCCTACAAATGTAACTCTTCTTGGCACATGATGCTTTAGGAACAATCTCTCTAATCTTAATAGAGAATGCGATGCCACTTTCCCTCCAGTTTATTAGCAATTGGCAGCAATGTAGTTTTTTTAAAAAAAGTGGAACAAGATCTTACCGTTTACCACCAGATGAAATGTGTGTTTCTCACACTGCTGGTTAATGGGATTGGTCAGCACAACGGTGTAATTCCCAGCATCTTTTTCACTCATTTCAGTAATAATTAAAGAGTAACCAAGTTTCACCGTACGATTTGCAACAATGGCTTCTCCGTTTTTATACCTGCAAAACACAGTTGATCCCGGTGGCTTGAAAGATGAAGAAGCAAACAGAGAAAACAATCGAACCACCTTCTACTTCCTACATTTTCAGTACACTGCAGCAAGAGAATCTAATTTTGCCTGCAAAATAGTCCTAAGATTAGGACAGAGTTGCGAGAAAAGTTTATCTGTCTGCAATTCTCAGTGTTCAGTGCTAAATAGGGATTTTCATTTGTTTGAAAAGAAAAATCCAAAAGAAAATGGAAGCAGTTAATCACTAAGCATATACTTTTAGCAAGTAACATCACCATAATAACAAAAGCATAACCCTTTATTTTGGGTTATGCTTTCTTCCGCTGTTCACAAAGAAATCAGAAACCCAACATTTTGTTTTAGAACTTCAGTGTTTCTATGTGATTGGACATTGTAAAATGTATACAGAAAGGGAGAGAAGCAAAAGAAGAATAAGATTTGCTCAAGGTTCTTACCATTTTGCCTCTGGGAGGGGATACGCTTTGAATAATACAGGCACTTTAGCTGGTTCTCTGAGAATTGTCTCCACCACAAGTGGCATTTTGCCCAAAAAGAGAAAAGGCTTTTCTATCAAAAAATTTAATAAGATAATCATTTAAAACAATGGACAGTACAGTTTGTAATATTAATACTATAATGGATACTGTTATCCTTAGTAAGAAATGCAGTTGTCAAATTGCTTATTGACTTTAGAAACCAAAATCAGACTTTTACTCAAAGATTACTCAAAGCAATCAACTTTTATTTATTTATTTTCACTCATCCTATAGTAAAAAAAAACAAAAAACACCACTGAATTGACCAACATGGAAGGACTCAAATATCCCGCCAAGACATAGTTTATGGAACAAGCCACAGTAGCAATAAGGAATAAGCCATGTTTCTTGCTAAACTAAGACCCAGCAGTTTAACCAGCATATGTCTGAACCCATCCACCACACACAAAGGCTGTCAATCAAGGTCATCCTAGTGGTGAGTGAGTGACATGTCCCCTCCAGGGATGGGCTTCAAAAATGTTAACTGCCTGGTTGCTGAGTGGCTATGGGCGTGGCCTAATCGGCCTCCTGCGCCACAACAGAGGGGCGTTTTCGCCCTCCCCGGGCTCCAGAGGCTCTCTGGAAGCTAGAAACGGGCCCGTTTCCAGCCTTCCCGAACTTCCAGGAGGCCCGATTTTCACCCTCTCCAAGCCTCTGTGTGCACCCTGCACTTACCTGAATCCAAAATGGACTGCGTGGGGACTTCTGGGAGAGAAGGGGTGGGGTGGGCGGGGCCAGCAAGGAGTGGGATTTGGGGGTTCTCTGAACTGCACAGAATCTTAGCCGGGGCTCTCCCGAACCCTTGCGAACCTCCCCCCCCCAGCAGCCCCTCCCAAAATCTAATTCAAGATTTAAACCATAACATTTTTTTCAAGACTTTGTGGACTCCCTGTGATGACAGGGAGGCCACGGACTCCCAGGGCGGCCACGGGCCACGGATTGAGAAATCACTGGCTTATAGGATTCATCCTGAAGATGAACAGACCTTGGACTCAAGCTGTTTGCCTTGATTTTGAGGACAATTCATTTCATGGTTTCTCCCAGGAGCTCTCAGTTTAGAACCATAAAGTCCAAGCCCACCATGAATTAAGGCTTACCGTGAACAATGACATTAATTTTGTGTTTTCTTGCCATCTGGCTGCTGGTGGCTGTACAACTGTACAGACCCCCATCGCTTAAAGTCACGTGTTCGATAGTGAGGGTGCTCACAAACTTCTTCATTTCACTGCCCAAGGCTGTCATCCCTTCCTTGAACATAGCATTCATTTTCTGCAATAGAGTTCAAAGGCATTTTACTCAGCATTATCCTTTCAGCTGTAGACTGGGCTGGTTCAGGAGATAGCATTACAATCTGTCATGGCCCGCCAGCTGCCAGTGGAGCTGGTGGCACACTCAGACGATGAGGAGGTTGGAGAGCAACTTAGGCTAGTCCTGGAGTCTGGGGAAGGCTCTGATGGATGCTGTGCATAGGAAGCAGAGAAAGGGCCAGAGCCGTCTGGCATTCATCAGCTGCCTTCGGAGTTGGAGATAAGTGGGGAAGAAGAACAGTTGGAGCCTGTTCCAGATGCGCGTATGCACAGAGCTGTCAGGACAGGAGAACAACTAAGGAACAGGGGCCAATTCAGGAAGAAAGGCACACATGGACGTTCAATGGCCCCTCCCTGGGGAATAAATAGAAGCAAAAGAGGAGTGGTGGTTGTAGGAGACAATTAATTCATATTTCTTTTGAAAGATTTGCTTATCAGAGTTTGTGCCTCACAGAGATTCCTTGCCAGGTATTTAATTTACAGGTTTGCCCGACTGGAAGCTCTCGACCTGGCAACTATCCAAGGACTGATAAGGTCTGTTCTTGTAATTAACCCTTGGAAGGATTATTGCTGGGACTTTTCTGTGTGTGAATGCCATGAATTCACCGTAACTAAATAAAGAGGGGGTTTTCGGGACAAGGAGTCTGTTTCTTGGTTCTGCTAAGGCTGGGTCAGAACACAATCAAAGATCCAACCTTTTGTACATGTATGCACAAAAGGGCAAGACTCATTCACAATGCTGTGTCCAAAATCTTGCAGGCTTTGACCCACAAACCTAAAGATCTCCCTGCCTAATGGTTAAAATTGATAATTAGACCAGAAGGAAGAAAACAGGGATTATACATTTATCAGCATTAAGTTTCTGATTCCTGGGACAGACTCAGCTGATGTAAACACTGGAGTAGACAGCAATAGCAATAGCACTTAGATTTACTATACCACTTCACAGTGCTTTTACAGCCCTCTCTAAGCGGTTTACAGAGTCAGCCTATAGCCCACAGCAATCTGGGTCCTCGTTTTATTAACTTCAGAAGGATGGAAAGCTGACTCAACCTTGAGCCTGGTGAGATTTGAAGTGCCAAATTGCAGGCAGCCGGCAGGCAACAGAAGTAGCCTGCAGTACTGCATTCTAACCACTGCGCTGCTGTGGCTCAAGATGAACATTACTCCTGTTAAAAATGGCACCAATGAGATTGGCAAAGATGTATCCCAATATGAATCCAAGATGTTGGAAATGTAAATAGAGCCAGGGTATTTTTCTTCCACATGTGGTGGCTATGCGCCAAAGCCAAAAAATATGGAGTTGGTTGCAAGAAATAATGAAGTGGCAAATAAAGTTCAAACCTAAACTGTTCTTTTTAGGAATAATTAAGGGGAAATGTAGTAAAAAGACCAAATACATGATACTACACATAATGAGAGCGGCAAGGATTGCATTCGCACAATGTTGGAAGCGAGATAATAAACCGCTGGAGGAATTAATAATCCAAAAGATATTAGAATGTGTTGAGATGGATAAACTCACTCTAGAGCTAAAAGGGAAAGAAGAGTCGGAGTACTATACGGTCTGGGATAATTGGTATGAATGGTTGAATAGTAGGAATAAGAATAGTACAGATAAGAAAAATTATATAAATGTATCTAATTGAATATAAATGTATGGAGATTTGTATATGTAACAACAGTGCCATAGTGTTGTTAAAGATGAGAATGAGATATGTCAATGTGAAAAAGCATAATAAAAATAAATAAAAAATAAAAAATGGCACCAGATTGGAATGAGCCATTTAGGAATTGCTCAGGTGGTTCTGAGCTATGAATTTCCTTTCTTTGTCATTGCACCAAAGTTGCACCAAGCAGGAACTCTATGCAGGGGTTAATGCTTTTTTGCCTGCAACTCAGTGGTGCTATAGAGGTTAAGAGGAGTCCAATCAACTTGCCCTTTGAACATGCCCTCCAACCTCTAATGGACATTCTTGGGTAAAACAGAACACAAAAAAATAAATGTATGATTTATAGTTTTGATTATTTGTCACGGTAGAATAAAGAAAGAAGAGAGAGTTAACTTGTACCCATAGAATAGGAGGTAAAATTATAATTGGCCTTGTAACTTCCATCAAGATTGGAAGTTGCTTCACTGTATCGTTCTTTTCTACCTTTCTTTTACTTTTTTTTCTTTCTTGAACTTTCAGCTTTTTCATTCTTTTTCTTTCTTAATAGGGCAAGGGTCTTCAAACTTGGCCAGTTTAAGACTTGTGGACTTCAACTCCCAGAATTCCTGAGCTGACATGACTGCAGGAGGAATTCTGGGAGTTGAAGTCCACAAGTCTTAAAGCTGTCAAGTTTGAAGAACCCTGTATAGGGATTTGCATTAGTTTTTAATCTTCTTTTTTTAAAAAAAAAAACTTTAATAAAAAATAGCTACATAAAAAGAACGAGCTTCCCAATGTTCCACAGGCAACCACCACCCCAGATTTATTTTCCTTGCTTAGCCCTTCTATCTCAGGACTCTCAAAACCTCTTCCATTTTTTTGTTTTCTCTCTTCTTCTTTCTCACTGGCATCATATAAGTTTTGTGTATGCCAGTTGTCTCCAGGAAACATGTGGGAATTGCTATCTGTTTCCTCGCGCGCGTGCAAGGACAACGGGCCTTCTGGTAGTTGTTTGTAACACGAGGCGAGGGACAAGGTCGAAATGTTGCCACTTCTTACCCAGAATTGTAGCAAACTTAAACTTTACAGCTTTGTATTCTCATATGGTATTTTGTGTGATGTAATGAGTTTGTAACAACACACTAACAAAAAATTGCAAACGTTAACAAAGATTGCTTCTAATAAAAGAGGGTGTCAGAGCCTGCCCTGGGCTCTCATCCCGATTTGGCTTCAAGACGACTACCTCAGTGTCTTCATTCATGAGAGACCACCATAACTGGTGACCCCGACGTGATCATCTGCGAGGTGGTACGTCTTTGGACCATCCATACTCATCGGCTGGCATAGCCTTGGTATACCTCATCCCTGATTCGATCGCAGGCGATCGCCGTGGATCCCTCGTGAGTATGGGTGGAGGATTCTCTCGGGACCAGAAATTGCACATTGAGGAACTAAGAGAATCAACCAAACGAATTTTTTTCCTTTTTAAAAGAGGGGGCTCTCTTGAAAAACCCCTCAGTAAAGCCTCTTTAGACACTTCCGAAATGATGGCTGCAGCTATCACCAGAGGTAATAAACCATCTGGTAATTGTTACAATTGTGGGAAGCCTGGTCATTTTAAATCACAATGTCAAGCCCCGGCGGGGGGGCAGCAAAGCCCTCCGCCAGCAGAGATGCTTGACAGTAGAGGGGCCGGCAGCTAGCCCCTCTCCCAAGGCTGCCCATATACCATCCACTGTGTATGAATTATCAATGACAGAAGATGTGTTCATATCCTTTCCCCATCTCTGTCAGCACACAGCTTCCTCCTTCTGCCTCCTTCTTCTCCGATAAAGCTGCTCTTACAATCTCACCCTCATGCCCTTCTCAAAGGAATCTCTGTGGTTCCCGATCTGCTCTATCCTTCCTCAAAACTCTCAGCCTCTCTCTCTTTTTTTAACAAACTTTGTTAATTTTTAAAGACATGCAGAACATGGATACACAGAAACACAAAACATAAAAGCATAAAAAATCTCTTTTCTGAAAGTTGCTTAGTCCCAGGTCAAAACTCTTGGTACAGACACAGATTCAGATTCGTGTTCATTTTGCATACCATTGGCATTTTGCATACCATTGGCATTTTGCATACCATTGGCATCTTATTGGCATTTTCAATTTTCTACATAGCTTCTCCTCTCTTTTGAATTTTCTCGGTTTTATTTTGTTAATCTCCTCTCAATTCGAATCATAGTTTGTTATTCTTTGTTCTATTTCCAGCTATCCATTTATCTTTCTTCTTTGAAGAAAAACTTCTCCTGTGCACTGAATGGAGTGTGATGCCTTTAACTCTTTCCCCTATATTTGTAATACTTAATATAGAACACATAATTTGCACTGGGATTCTATCTGGTGCATTCTGAAATTGTGCAGTATTGTTATTCATTAGTGTTGATGTTCATTTGTGTCTTGAACATTTGGTGCATTGCTTTTCAGTTAAACCACATCACATATTATAGATCATTATTTCATTGCAGTGTTCCCCCTTCTCCTACTTCAGATCTTTCATTTCACAAAAGGTTTCGCTGGGATAACATAGTCTAATCATTGATGTTGACAATCATTTATGTCTTGAACATTTTACCCCTTTCGGTTAGATATCATGCCTTTGTGGGAACACTTATGCTTTCCGGGATTGTTCCCCCCCCACACATCCCATGTCTTAAGTCATTGTTTCATTACAGTACTCCTTTTCTTGGCAAAGGTTTCACTAGATTATACTGAGTGTTTTGTCACATTTTGAATTGCATGTTGTTTCCAGTTTTCTATGGTTATTTCTGGATGCAGGTGTAGAAGTGCGGTCTTGTGTGCCTTTCTGAAATCCTTTTTTCAGTGGAATTTGTCTATTATCTCTGGAGAACTTTTGCTTAAGGCCTCTCATCTCTTCCTTTCTCCCTTGCTTCTCCTTGTAAAATATTGGAAAAGAGTGCCTAGGACACCTTTCCCTTCTTGCTTTTCTTTTTTTAAATTTTGATATACAAGTTTCAGTCCATCCACACGTGATGCCATTGTGTAGACATCCCTCGTACAATTACAACAATATTTAGGGGCTATTAATTGGACCCGTCCCTATTTTGGCATCACTACACACATGCTCAGCCCCCTGTTTGAGGTGTTAAAGGGAGGAACCACTCCAGGAGATAAAATTACCATTACAGATCATCAATTAAAAATCACCCAGGACATATAGCACATTATGCAGAAAAGGTGGGTCAACCGATGTCACAACAATGCTCCTATTTCCTTAATCTTGCTCAATACACCCCCTCCTTACCTACTGCTGTATTAACCCAAAAGTCTCAGCACACTAGCAACCTCCTTATCTTAGAATGGATACATCTTCCTCAACACTCCTAAAAAATCTCTTAGTCTGTTAAAACTGGTTGTTGAAAATGCAAATGAGGATTGAAAGAGGATTCTGCAGCCTCTATCTTCCCGAGGTGGGGCTTCCCTCTCGGACTATCTAAAGGCTTGCAGAATCGTGGGAACTGAGGACCATGATTGTTTGTTGCAAGTAGGTGGATGGGTCAAGCAGGGTTGAAGAAGGAAAGAGGAAATCAGGATTTGCAGTCATGATAGGAGCAGGGGAGGTCATAAAAGGGCTCCCTCCCTTCCTTCATGGTCTGCGCAGAAATGTGAGTTGTTAGGATTGGAAATCTGAGGAAAAGAGAAAGATGAGTTGGGAAACTGAGAAGGAGTGAAGGTGGTTTCTGTGAATGCAAAGTATGTTTGAAAGTAAACAAGAAAGTAGCAAGGAAAAAAGAAATGGGAGGGCGACCCCTGATGGGCTGGCCTTTCCAGAGAACACAGATTGATTTCATCGAAGTACTAACTCCATACGCATAAAATGTTTTCAACTACTGCCTATCCTTCACTTCAGTCTCTGTCTCTAAAAATCTTCTCTCTCTTTTTGTTACATTGCAACACCTTGTTGCACAGCACCAGCACCCGCTCTTTGTAGCACACATTTGCAGCCACCAACCCTTCCCAGGAATTCTCCAGGAAGGCAATGATATGGCTGATGCGGCAGCTGCAACCGCAGACAGCGCCATCTCTTGCATGATTCTTTCACAACAAACACCCTGGGACAGTCATAGTTATTTTCATCAAAACAAAAAAGCCTTGGCCAGACAGTTTAAATTCAAATTTAAAAATGTCACAGGGTTGCCAGGACTCCAGAATGCATTGAATGTTTGCTTGTTTACTCTTAACTTCCTCAATGAGTCCGGATCCCCCCCATGCACAGCAGCATCACGTCATTTCGCTTCCTCGCCTCATCCTGAACCCAGACCAACGGTATCAGCTTCCAGATCCTCAGTGGAAAGGTCCTGCTGAACTTATAACCTGGGGATGAGGGTACGCTGACAACAACAACACCATCTGGGTCCTGGACGACACGTAAGGCCTTTTCTACCCAAACCAGCCTTGTCTACATCAGCATCATGAAGCTGCCCACTGCATTCATCATTTGCTTCCTGGGTTTCCACATCGTTCCTGCCAATACGACAGCCACCCCATCCTCCTGCGATGCCTGCATCAAAACTACTCGCAGCGGAACGAAGACCCAGTCCACCCTGATCTATCATACTTTGAAGCCTGAATGCAACTCCATGACAGTCTCCCCTTGTTTGCATAACAACACCCAATATGCACGATGCTACACCAAACAAGGTATCCAATGCTACGAACCAAAGGCTGTGGGGCCCATCACCGCCTCACTGTATGTCTATGCCTACAAAGGAGGATCCATCTCTGACCTTGCCTCAATGTTCTCAACCAGTCAAGCAAAAAATGGGTACATTGCCCATAATGTCACTCGGGGGGTTACCAACACTTCTGTGTGTTTTGATGCTTGTTTTGCCATCAACAAAGGCCAAGGTCCTAACGACACTGCAGGAGTCACCTGCGGCTCACACAGCTGGCAAAGATCTTATCTACAGGAAAGGAAATATCTATTCCAAAAGGTGTCCGGGACTAACGTGGGGGCCACCACTGTTTACAACTACTGATACACCCCACCTATTGACTCTGCTCAAGTAAGAGGCCCTCAAAATATTAATATCACTGTTAAATCAAGCTCTACTTCATGTACCACTGACAAATGTAATCCTATTTGCTTGTACACTCACTTACCTGAAACAAGGGGGTACCATACCCCCACATATATATGCTCAATAGAATTATAAGGTTGCAAGCTGTATTAGAAATTATAACCAATGAAACTGCTCTTGCTTTGAAAACATTAGCTAAAGAAAGTGCATTGTCTAGAACATATATCATGCAAAATCGTTTGGCGTTAGATTATCTTCTTGCCAAAGAAGGAAGAGTGTGTGGAAAATTTAATCTTAGTAATTGTTGTATTGAAATAGATGATAGTGGAAAAGTTATTCAACAAATTACTGATAGAATGATCAAGATTGCACATGTACCTGTACAAACATGGAATGGTCTTGATTTTAGAGACATGTTTGGATCCTGGTTCCCAAAATTACCTGATTTGCAAGCTATTGTAGCGCTTATTGGTATGATTGCTGCAGGATGTATTATATTGCCTTGTGTATTACCTATCTTTGTACGCACTATTTCTAACAGTTTATCCCTTTTGGCTGAGAAAAAAGCCACTGCACAGGTAATGGCTCTCTGGAATCAACAAATAACTAACACATATGAACCACTGCCATCCGAAGATGAAATGGGAGAGCCAACCTGTGATGACCCAGACGAGGACAAGATGTTTGTGATGGACGAAGAAGTCACGAACGCCATGGATAACATCAGCATACACAGCACTCTTGCCTACGCGCCTAACAAAGGCTGCTGTTAGAACTAAAACACTCCCTGTCTTTAAAAAAAAGAAAAACAGAGGAGATGTGGGAATTGCTATCTGTTTCCTCGCTCGCGTGCAAGGACAACGGGCCTTCTGGTAGTTGTTTGTAACACGAGGCGAGGGACAAGGTCGAAATGTTGCCACTTCTTACCCAGAATTGTAGCAAACTTAAACTTTACAGCTTTGTATTCTCATATGGTATTTTGTGTGATGTAATGAGTTTGTAACAACACACTAACAAAAAATTGCAAACGTTAACAAAGATTGCTTCTAATAAAAGAGGGTGTCAGAGCCTGCCCTGGGCTCTCATCCCGATTTGGCTTCAAGACGACTACCTCAGTGTCTTCATTCATGAGAGACCACCATAAAACAGAGAGGAGAGATAGAAGAGAATCAAATCTTGGTCCAGCTCCTAACTGACTCTCAGTGGTCCAGCTCAACCGCACGACACGGCCCTCAGCAAATCCCTCTTGGATTTGGAAGCTCCCTCCTTCTGTTACCTGTTTCGAAGGGAAATCCCACTGGAACTCAATTCTCACATTCAGCTCAGTCCTTGCTGTGCAATTTAAGGATAGCTTCTCTCCTGCTGCCAGCTCTACTTGGTGCAGAGGGCCCATACTAAGGTCGTGGATTTTATATCCTAAACGGAGGGGGACAAAATCAGAAAGGACACTCCACCGAACGTACAATTGTGAAACAAACAAATGATGTGGGGTATCAGAAACATTTTTAAAAAAACAGAATTTTTGCGCCACAATATAAACAGTATGCACTCTATTTGATTGCTTATTGTACCCTATGACTATTATTAAGTGTTGTACCTTATGATTCTTGACTCTTGATGAATGTATCTTTTCTTTTATGTACACTGAGAGCATTTGCACCAAGACAAATTCCTTGTGTGTCCAACCATACTTGGCCAATAAAGAATTCTATTCTATTCTATTCTATTCTATTCTATTCTATTCTATTCTAT